GGGAGGATGTAGGAGGAAGGGGGTGGGGTATAACTTAGTTTTCAAAAGTTAAATTCAAGTATGTCAACAATACATTTACCTTGCTTTCTGTTGAAGCACCAACGACAACAGTGTGGCCAGCTTCGCATGAACCCTCTCAGCATGCCAATACCAATGCACCTTCACAGTCACCCGAGCCTCGTCTACTAACTCCTCAATCAGAATTTCCATTCCAGCAGACTGTGGCTGATTGATTTCAGTTCGGAGGTCAGACGTACCAAGTATATGCCGACAGACTCACTGTATGGCTGGAAATCGCACACCTCCACTCTGGTTCCTCCTCCTGCAAGATAAGGAAGCACTTTCGCCACTACTTCACTAGATGGGGAGCCCCAGAGCAGCTCTCAACAGATGGTGGGACCAACGTAGTAAGTGAGGATATGGATAATTTCCTCAAGAGATGGGAAGTCGCGACTCGCCTCTCTTCTACTCAGTACCCACAGTCTAATGGTCGTGCTGAGGCCACAGTAAAGACAACCAAGAGAATATTGCAGGGCAACATAGGAGCAGGAGGGAGTCTGGACACTGATAAGGTATCCTTCGCTCTGCTCCAGTACCTGAACACTCCCTTACGTGGAGTGAATAAGTCTCCTGTACAAATGACAATAGGCAGGCAGCTGAGGGATGGCATCCGCACAGCCAGGATGAACTACAAGATCGATCCCCAGTGGCGACAGACTCTGACAAAAAGAAGTTGAAGATGGCTAGACAGAACGAAGTTGCACTGGATAAACGTTGTTGACATTGTTATTATTATTATCATATTATCACTATCGATATCATCATACTAATATTTGTATTTCTATCACTATTGTTAAAGCTGTCATTATCAATATTAAAAACATCATTATCATTACAATAATCATAATCATTGTCATTTTTCTTATATATATATATATATATATATATATATATATATATATATATATATATATATTGGTTAGTATCGTTAGTATCACTTTTACCATTATTATAATTATAATCGTAATTATATTATCATCATTATTTCTATCAAAATTAGCATTAGCATTATTATCACCATCATTATTATGATCACTGGTATCATTATCATTGTTATTATCATTACTTTTGTCAATATCATTATCATTACCATTTTTGTTATTATTATCATTACATTACTGTCATTATCAACATTATTGCCATGTAAGCAATCATGATTATCCCTAGTCATCATCATTTCTTATTTCTATGTATCATTTTGTTATCATCATTACTATCATTTCTTCTCTATTGGTTTTAACATGAACTACCGTAATCGTAATTAATAGCAATTATCCTCCTTTATTAGAATTTTCATGATATCCTCAGCAACTTCATGATCTCCACCAAATAATCTATCTCTCGCTCTTCTCTCTTCCTCTCCCTTCTATCCTCAACAACTTTATGAAAGAAAGAAAGAAAGAAGTAAAAGAAACCGGAATATTTTGTCGTTTTAAAAGATTATGATCTTCAAATGCTGATTATGGCCAGAACTGATTAACCCTTTGGAACTCGTGACCAAATTTCTCCAGGAAAAATATAGAAAGGGGAAAGATATGGAGAAACGTATCCATGGCAACATAGAATAAAGAGAGAGAAAGAGAGAGAGAGGAGGGAATGCATTCACGAGCATATTAATAAATCTACGGTTATTCCCCACCGCATTTCACTTTCCAAACAACCCTTTGGGGGATTCGGGTCTCATTTTCTTCCTTCTGGAATTAATTCATCGTTGTCCCCCGGCGAATAAACTTGATTAAATGTTGGGCTTTTATCTTAACAAAGCCAGGATTTTAAGGAGCGAGCCATAACTTTGTTAATATTTCCTACTTCATTATTTATCCTGTGGTCCAAGAACGAGCTAATCTCCCTAGAGTGTCATTAAAGCGCATCGGCAATCAGCAATACAGGAAAAAAATCAGGTTTAATGCCACACGGCGAAATGTACCAGGAATTTTTATTCTGTATTTAATTAAGACGGTATTCAGTTTCTGTTGCTCTGGAGATGATTTAATTTACACAATATCACATTTTATCACACAGTATCGTTATGAAATACCATTTCGTGTCACAGCCATTATCGCAATATACATTTACCCAGACGCCACTTCGTTCGATTTTCATATGCACACTCTACATCATAAAAAGTTCGATAGCGCCATGACAAAAGACGATCGACGGATGGTGACGTCACTACGGTTTTTTATTTTATTATTATTTTTTTTTTTTCCTAAGGCCGTATTTTTGTCATTTGTAAGACCACAGACGTTTTGATGCAAAAGAAACGTGTTTAAAACAATGTGATATTTTCCCTATGTTCAAATGAATTAAACATAAAATTGCTTAAACCATCTTCATATGAACATATGATATGGCAGACCGAACATCATCGCGGCGGAAATTTCATCCGATGTCACTTCAGCTGGGTCTTCTAATTGGTCATCACCAAAGATAGAGCCATAGAGTAACTTTAAACCTTCAGCCCTACAGCACACGTACCATGAATAGTCGTATACCTTGTAGATAATGTGGAAAGGTATGATTGAGAACGAATATCTTCACAATACAAGAATTTTTTTCCGGTTTCGAATATATCCACGGTGAGTAGAGGTGTTTGTTGTTAATTTTAGCCTTTATAAGCTGAGTTGTATCTCATTCCACATAAAATCTCACTTCTTAGAACACCTCTCACTTTCTTTCCAGTTATGCAGCATCTTTCATAACCTTATTGTCAAAGTTTATGGAATATGTCATTCTTCTCATATACCATTCAGTAGGACATTAAGAAAATATTTCTTATCAGGGGTCGAATGAAATGAAGGGACCATGTAAATTGTGCATATATTTCATAAAAAAAAATGCTATTACATTGTGTTTCAATAACCTGGATGATTTTTTTTTTTATTCCAGTCAGGATGATTAAAAAGTATGGACTAATGGTCATATTACGAACATACATACAGCTGTTTCCACCAAATCTCTAAATGATAGAAAAATGCTATAACATAAATCTTTGAATAATGTAGATTTATGTCATAATCCAGAACCGAACTGCGTCAAGTTCAATTAGTTTAGGATTGAGAGAGAGAAAGATAAAAAAAAAATATGGTGGATTTCTAAACTTTGCTTACCTATATTTGGACATGTAATAGGTCACAGCATATAGTTATGATTAATCACAAGAATAACAAACCTGTTATATTGTTGTATGCAATCAAAATGATATTCGAGTAATGAGGTAATGAATTAATAAAAATCAGATTCCAATAAAGTCATGCCCTAATATTGTAGGCAAGTCTACTAAAATTACTGGCACAAGAGCAGCATCAATATGCTGATCATATATTATCTTATCATAAAAATATTGTAGGTTCATCTGCTCTACCAAGAATATACAGGACTTTGCAAATACCCCATTCCAGAGATATGTAACAGATATGGCACCTGTGACTGAAGGAATAACGAACTGAAGTAGAGTGTGTGAAAGTGAGTGTGCGTGTGAAACTGTGTGTTGTGTACGTGTGAGATTGTGAGTACCTATGAGGGTGACTGCGGGTGTGAGTGTCTGTGACGGTGTGGGTGTGAGTGTTACACATGTGAACATAGAATACTTAATTTTATGAACATAAATTTTCAAGAGAAAAATTGTACTATGCAACAAAAATAGTACCTGAATGCTACATTAAATGCACTATATCGAAATAACTAAAACAATTATCATCTTTGACTACGTGAGGAAAGCTACCTTGGTATTACTCATGGTGATATAAATTTACCATTATAAATAAAAATCATCCATGCAAAATAGAGCAACGGTTGATATAAGTGAGGGAGGAGGTACCTGGCAACATATCCCCTTCCTCCTCCCTTGCAAAATAATAATGAGAATTTTACTGATGATGGCAATGAAAAAGGTTACTAATGAAAATGATGATTATGATAATGATGATAATGATGATCACATTAATATTGATAATTACAACAATGATCATAATTATAAGAATCCAAATAACCAATAATAATGATAATAATGACACTAATGATAACAATAATAAGAATAAGAATTGCCAAAGGAGACCACTCTAGTGACGGCAGGGACTGACAACCGCGAAATATTATATAGTGACAAGAGCTAGGTTACTGAAGGTATAAAGATTTTTGCGATTGGGGAAGGACCGTGAAGCTTTTAGACAAAAGTATTGAGTGGATGGAAGACACAGTAAACGTCGTGGAACAATAATTGATGTTAGGATAAAGCGAGGGATGAGAGAAGTGAAAGAGTAGAGAATCTGGCAAGGGAATTTAAGACATTGGTACAGAAGGAATACAAAAGACGCCATGACGGGGGCAGCAAAGTTAATACATTGGAAATTATGTGGAAAGTACAAGCTGGAAAGGTCTGGGAAGTGGTATGATGCTAATCCGTTTGGAGCTGCCATAATGATGCACGTAAATTATTTTGGGATATAAACACCCAGTGTGATCATGCGATAGAGGCAAGAAGGCCGGATATAATCATAGCTGAAAAAGAAAGAAAATAGATGCCTGAGAGTGGACATAGTGTGACCAGGAGAGTAAGAAAGAAAGAACAAGAAAAGTAGCTAGAACTCAATCGGGAATTAAAAAAAAAAAAACAATAAAGTAATAATGAAAATAATATTATTAATCAGTATTATCACTATCATTTTCATGATAGTCATTATACTAATTTTATCTATCGTTTTATTATAATTATTATATTGATTATCATCATTACCATCAATATCTTCATTACAATGGCAATACAAATCAGAGTGATTTTTCTCCGTCTTATCATTATTATTATTATCATTACTCTTATTTTAATCATTATTTTTATCATTATTATCATCATTATTGCCACTATTATTCTCATTTTCTTATCATCATTATTAGTCATCGTCATTATCATCACGAATGAGGAATCGAGAGGACACTGGCGCTCATGAAGTGGCGAGACGTACATACACTACAAGGTTCTCCCAAGTTCATAAAAAAATAATTCTTTGTGATTTAGCTTCGTTAAACGTAATTCTACGTGCATTGCTTTCTTAAGAAAATAAATCTGATTGAACATTTCAAAATAATTCTTTGCTACTAAATTTCTTGAAACAGGTTCCTTCATGGTCAGATTCCATGAAATAGGTTCCTTTGTAATCGGATTTCGTTACGCGGGCCCTTTAGGATTCGGCGCCACGACGTGTGTTTCGTTAGGATTCGATTTCGTGAAACGTGTCGCTTTCAGGTCAGATTTCATGAAACAGGTTCCCCTATGATTTCGTGAAACGGGTCCCATTGAGAGCTCATGAAATAGGTTCCTTTATGGTTAGATTTCATTGATCGGGACACTTTACTTTCAGATTTCATGAAACACGTTCCTGTATGATTAGATTTCATGATTTGTTTTTCGAGAATTAGACTTCATGTCATGAAATAACTGTGACCAGATTTCAAGGACAAAGCCTTAGTGGTTGGTCTGATAAAGGTCGTAATAGTGTCCTTGTTTCTTCATGAGTTCCTCGTGCGTTCCAGCCTCCACCACGCAGCCCCCTTGTACCACGGCGATGGTGTCAGCGTTCTGGATCGTGGAGAGGCGATGCGCGATGATGATGCTGGTTCGACCCTCTTGGGCTCTTTCCAGGGCCTCTTGGACCACCTGAGGAGCAGGGAGAAGAGGGTATAATCATATGACTATGCAGCTGTGATCGACGTGAAGGGACAAGCGATTTTTGGATTATTGTACAAGAAAATTGGTCGTTAACTCATTCACTCGCCATTTTCCTATTAAGAGTACATTGGCAAGTGTTGTCTTTCTTACAATTTTTGACAGTGGATTAAATCGATTCTGTGGGAAGGTCAGATTAAGTCAAAGTTCAGTAAGCAGCTCTTATTTACCTTTTCGCTCTCGGTATCCAGCGCAGACGTCGCCTCATCTAACAAAAGCACACTGGGATTTCTCACAAGAGCTCGAGCAATCGCAATGCGCTGCTTCTGCCCTCCGGACAACTGAGTTCCCTTTGAACCGACCCTTGTTTGATAACCCTAGCATGGAAAAGAAAGAAAAGGGTGAGTCTCATGAAAATATATATAAAGATTTTTTAAAATCCATTAGACATTTAAACACAATCAAAACCCGAAAAGATTTATTCAAAAATAAAAAAGTAAAAATTCCAGAGCCACACCTGAGGCAAAGACTCAACGAAACTGTGAATATTGGCTTGCTTGGCGGCCCTGATGATCTCTTCATGGCCCACGACACGGCAGTTGTCCCCATAAGCAATGTTTTCCGCGATGGTCAGGTCAAACAGCACAGGCTCCTGAGACACGAGACCCAACTGGTTCCTGACCCAGCCCACGTTTAGGGCTTGTATATCTTCTCCGCTGATGGTCTGGAATGGAAAAAAAAAAAAAAAAAAAAAGTTGTAAGGTTCACAAATTGTAAAAGTATTCTGCATATGAAAATAATTCAATCAAGGTTTACTCTATACTATGGCGCTGGCAGGGAAGGAATTCACCCATCCACACCTCGTGAATTGTACAGGTCATCAATTACATATTTAATGGTCAACCGCATATCTAAACAATACCAGCATACAAGGTGCGCGAGAGATACTGTAATAACATTTAAGTTACCCCTGACTCGCTGATGCGAAGCCTTCAGAGAGAACGTGGCGAATTAAGGGTTGACTCTTACAATCTTACAAGACCACTAATGTAACAATATTTCTCCTTCATAATGTGTTGTATTTATACGTACACTTTGTATTAACTTTGTTAATACTAAGTTTGTGTATCCCACAATTAGTAAGAATATAAGTTGATGAATTTACATATACACCTTTAATATGAAAATGTCAGAATTTGTTTTATTATTCCCTATAATAAATATTATTGGCAACTCAACTCCATCTTTTTTATGGAGTTTATGACGTTGTCATTACGTATCAATTATATGATTGGTGGGATTTACTTGCTTGTTCTGAGCATGTGCAGGATAAAATTTTGAGTTTAAAAGTTAATGTCGGTCTTCAGGCGTATTGAAAGTTGATCCTGGACGCTGCCATTACACATGCGCACTGGAGATGTGGATTAAACTTTAATACTGGATTAACTTTTATGGCACGTACAGAAGACACCCACAACAATGGCATTACGAATGCAGTCGTCACACTGTCTCGAAATGGAAACACGAATTCGACACAAAGGTCTTTCGGCATTTTTTTTACACGCCAAAGATATTTCCATCCCTCACGTAGTTGCTGCCGCAGATTGAGAAACTCCACCGGCGATCATACGATGGTTTATGCAGGTGTCACACTGTCCCGAAATGGATGTTTTTATAAGCCGAAATGGATGTATTTATAAGCCGAATTTGAACATTTCCTTTATCGTGTGTCCATCTGGTGCCACTTTCGGAACAGAGTGACACATACGTAACCACAGTCAACCTGTCACTATCAGTCTTGTACTAACTGCGCCAATAGTTATTCAAAATATAAGCCAAGAGAACAACAAATTCATGTAGGACCTACAATCCGACCACTTTTGGGGTCGTAAAATCTCTCGAGGAGGCTGATTATGGTCGACTTGCCGCAGCCCGAACTCCCAACCAGGGCCAAGGTCTTGCCTCGCCCCACCCGCACTCCCAGCCCGTTCAGAATGGGAACGTCCGGCCGCGTCGGGTACGTGAAGTGCACGTCCTGCAGCTCTATGTTCTCCACGTGGCCACTCTAGAAAGGCAAAAGAAATGTTGCGTTTGTTAGCTGGCATTACGACATTGAAAACTGTTTTCTGTTGTCCGTGTCTTTTGGTGGCGAATTCTGCCTTTATTCTCTTATTTTCACAAAGGTCGATAGTCTTTTTATTATCAGTGATTGACCTTATTGTATTTAGACGAGACTTGCACTCAGTATAGAATAATGAATCTACAGGACACATGCGTTACATTGCTGCTACTACTACTAATACTATTACTACAATTATCATTTTCATTATTATGATGATGAAGATTATCATCCTCATTATCATCATTACCATTAATATTATTACCACTATTATCATTCTTCTTCCAGTCAGTCTTGCCAGGAAAATAAAAATATATAGTTTTTCTCTCATTAACAAATTAATAAAAATATATATACTGAATCACTAATTAGACTTTCACTCGAGACGTCTTAACACACCATTCAAAACCATTCAATTCACTTCAAGGTACGGTACAATGTCATCTGTTTCTAAAGACCAGATGCTGTCCTAATGCTTCTCAACAGACTGATACTGTCTTCATGCTTCTCAACAGACTAATGCTGTCTTCATGCATCTCAACAGACTGATTCAGTCCTAGTGCTTCTCAACAGACAGATGCTTCCCTAATGCTCCTCAACAGATTGATGCTGACCTAATGCTTCTCAACAGCCTGCCAAAACCCACAAGAACTCCAGTGTTGCCAACTCACGAGACGAAGGCCGACTCCCGATGACGTTTCGATAGCAGGTCGCCGTTCCAGCAGCTGGAAGATCCTGGCCGCAGCGACCTTGGCCTTGCTGTAGTTGGGCGCGAAGGCCACGGCCTGACCCACCATCATCGTGCCCAGGATCAGGGCCTCGGCGACTCTGTTCAGGAGGCGGGCGGGGAATGGGTCAGATTTGTATACATGTGTGTGTGTGAATATACATTTGCATATATAAATATAATGTTTATATCTACATACATATATATATATATATATATATATATATATATATATATATATATATATATATATATATATATATATATATATATATATATATATATATATATATATATATATATATATATATATATATATATAATATATATATATATATATATATATATATATATATATATATATAATATATATATATATATATATATATATATATATGGATATATACCCATAGAAGAAAGACAGACACAGTATATTTCTACAATATCTGTTAAATTGGCTTTTTCTTATGCGCAAATACATATATTACATTCATGAGAGTAATGTTTTAAGAACGAATTACATTGCAATTCCTCTGAGAACTTACTTGAAAAGCTTTTCGTACGTCAATTGATTCTCATTGACCAGGTATCCTCCATAGAACATGCTGACAGCATAAGCAAAGAAGGGCATCGCCTGAGCGAATCCGAAAGCAGCACCTGGAATATTTATTTATTTATTTATTTTTTATTTCGTACATTCACGAATCAAAATAGACATAAGCAGGGCATAAAGGATTTTTTTTCTAAGGAAACCTATTTTTTAATATTTCATCATGACCTTTGACTGTGAAAGTAAAGTAAAGGCTATCCTACCAAATTTGTTTATAAAGATATGAATATAAAGATGTAAAAATATAATCATGTATGCACATTACATTATGCATTCATACCAGGAATGCAAAACATGTTTGCTTATCCTACCTCTCAAATGTGATTTCTTTAATGCTTCCTCGTGAGGTTTAAGTAGAGCCTTCGAGTATTCATTAGCAAAATGCTCTTCCTTGTGGAGGCCAGCAACTGTGCGGATGTTTGTAATGGCTTCTATGGCTATCTGTAAATTGAAGAGGAAAAGGTCTTGGTAAGAGGGGGAAAATGCGATCAATGTTTCAGTGAATTTAAATATATTTTCAATCATGTTGCTTTCTAAACATCAATTCTATTTCGATTACCCTGCTGCTGTACTGAAAAAGTGATCTGGCACGACCAAATTACAAACACCATTTCGAAATAAAATTTCCCAAAAAAAGGTTTGTGCTGTTAAATCCAATAATCTTTGCACAAGCTCTGAAGCTCGCCTGTTTCTTAAACGAGTTCTAACAATTCATCAAACCCTTTATTCATTTTACACTTCCCTTTAAAACATTAGCCTGATTATGCATCACCTATCACTTTATATATATAAAACCTCTACTCGTTACGCCATCAGTTCATTTACCCTAATTATTCATTCTCAACTAAAACAACCTTCATCTATCACTTCATTTACCTACCACGTCATGACTCATTACTGAACTATCATAAGAAGTTATTTACTCATCACTCATTGACCTAACTCAACGGAAGACGCTAAGCCTAATGACTTCGTGGACCGGACTTACCTTCCCCGCGTTCTCTAGGACCTTGGACTCGGTGACGCTCTGCCCCATCAGGATCTTGCTCTGCAGGTACACCGCCACCAGCACGAAGGGGATGAAGGGCAGCGTGACCAGGCCGAGGCGCCAGTCGTAGTACAGCGCGAGGACAATGCTGATGCCCAGGGTGGTGATTGCCTGGACGATGGTGCCCACGCGAGAGCCCGTCGCCTGCAAAGGGGAGGAAGGCGCTTTGTGGCTTCGGCATGGAAGTCTGAGGAACAGGGACGGAGGAGAAGGAGAGGGATAGAAACACACACACACACACACCACACAGAGAGAGAAGAGAGAGAGAGAGAGAGAGAAGAGAGAGAGAGAGAGAGAAGAGAGAGAGAGAGAGAGAGAGAGAGAGAGAGAGAGGAGAGATAGAATGCATTGGAACAGTAACGTCCCAAGCAGTCTAAATTAAACAAAATTATAAAAAACAGCTTAGCCGAGGGAAGGAAAACACTTCATGATACTGTACTTATTTTTGCCGTTTGTCCGAAAGCAATGAGTTCAATTATTCTTTAATATCACTAAAAAAAAACAATGAATTATTCTACAAATCCAGCTTTCAGATCACAAATAAAGAAAAAACAAGATGAAGAGCAGCAAAAAAGAAGAGCTCCCTAACCCCTTGTATGGCCGAAGCATCTCCCGACAGCTTGGAGCACAGAGCCCCGACGGAGTTCCTCTCTTCATCGAACCAGCCCACCTCCTGTCGCACCATGGCAGCAAAGGTCAACTTACGTAATCTCGCCGTCAATATTTCTCCGGAGAGTGAGAACATGTATGCCTGGAGGAGCGTTAAGGACAAAAATTGTATTTACGTGTAATTTGTCATATCACAGCAATGAGGTATGGCCTTGATATCTACAATGTCTGCAATAAGGGATTAATGTTGCTTTAGCATAGGCAACATGGTACGGAAGAAAAGCTGCTATTAAACATTCATAAATATCTTACTCGTACTTATAGATATACAGTCATGAAAGCAATGGAAACCCAATTATAAAGGTATCATTCCATTACACTACCTGCATAAACATAGACAGCGCTGCAACAATGCCAATTAGAAGGAAAAGCAAGGCATAGAAGTTGGCTTCATTCCTGGCTTTCTCTTCCTCGGCAATGGACAGAGTCTGAAAAATAATTTTTGTTGGTAGTCTTTCATAATGGACTGCGTGCATCTCAAACACACACAAAATAAAGAAATATCATTTTGTTTAAATTAATATCGTATTCATTTATCCTGTCTATTTCATCTATGAATCATTATACAGTTAATTGAATTGCTATTTCTGCTATGTCTATTCAATCTTCTCGGCCTATCTCATTATCTTTCAATGAATTTAACCCAATCAATTCACTATGTTGTCTTTCCATTACCCAGTGTCTCTGCGTCACTCACCCCGAGGATTTCGCCAAATAATATAGCGTAGAGGGGGATGGTCGTCCCTTGGATGGCAGAGCCCAGGATGCCCCCGACGATGTACGGCCATTCAGAGGCGTTCTTCTTGATGATTTCCCACGTGGCCACTTCCGGCAGGGCCTCCTCCTCTTCCTTCTCCTGGAATTTGAGCGAAAAGATGACGAGGCTCTCTGGACTTCTTCCGTTGGTAAGAGGAAGTTTCCTAAGGATTTCTCAAGTTAACTTTCTCTTACTTCTAAAATTGAGATGAAATTACTTGCAATCTTGATTATTTTTTGTTTTATGGTTTATGGACCTTTTGTCGATATAATTTGCATTTATGTTAGCTTAGATTATCTAACGTCCATGTACGTTGTAATCAATATGGATCTTTAATTACAATCCTTTAACACATTATATGCAGAGTTGTGTTTATGTGAATATTTCTGGGGAAAGGGTCCATACTACAGTAAATTCCTAAAGGTAAAACCCACTGCTCAACAACATGAGACCTGCGTATGAGCCAGTCCACTCCACGAAGAAAATGCAATAATCTCTACAACCTCCATAGCCATTAAAAAGAAGCCGCCACCGAGCGCAGCATTTCCCTGCCAACTCACCTGCACGTTCCGCACGGGGCTCTTGACAGCCTTGGCGGACGAAGCGCGGCGCCTCTTGAGCGACTGGCGGATGGACGGGCTGCGGGTGAGGGCCGCCGGGGACATGCTGGCCAGGTCCTCGATGATGTCCTGACTCAACTCCGAGAGGGCTTCGCCGTCGATGAAGGCCGCCTCGTCCTCGGCCTTCTCCTTCTGCGGGCTGCTCTTGTTCTCTGTTGTGGGAGGAGGACGTAGGTGATAGTGAAAACATATAGGAATAAATGTGAGGATAATAAAATTATAACGAAAGGTGTTAATCATCTTTATCATAATCACTACCACCATCGTTATGATTCTTATTGATTAAAATAATAATAATTATAGAGTAACGAAAATGGAATATTACGAAAAGTAATGAGATCTTTTCTAAAGCAAAAAGAAAAAAAACCTAACTATTTATTCACTAAGGAAAAGGAAAAAATAGCATCAACGAAAAAGGAGAGCAATGCATCAAATAAAGAATAACAAGAGAGAGAAAGATCGATAAATCAATATCTAGACAGATAAAAGACAGAGAGAGATGGCCATGAACAGAGAGAGATAAAGGTGAAACAAAAACAGATAAAGTGAAACAAATTGAAAGATAAAGGTGAAACAAATTAAACAGATAAATGAAACAAAACAGATAAAGATGAAAGATAAAGATGAAACAAATTAAACAAATAAAGATGAAACAAATCAAACAGATAAAAAGTGAAACAAGTTACCCTTTTCCTCCTGCGGGCTGACTTGGGCTGTGACGAGGTTGTAATAAAGCCCCTGCAGCTTCATCAGTTCGTTGTGAGTTCCCACTTCCTCGATCTTCCCCTTGTTGAAAACCACGATCTTGTTTGCCGGCTTGATGGTGGACAGACGGTGCGCCACGACCACCGTTGTGCGCCCCTTCCTCACCTGTTGGGGAAACCGGGTGTTAGCTTGGGGTCTTAGGGGGTCCGTAAATCGGGGGGGGTCTTAGGGGGTCCGTTATCGGGTCTTGGGGTCTTAGGGTGTCCGTAGCTCGGGGGGGGTCTTAGGTGTCCGTAGGGGGTCTTGGGGTCTTAGGGTGTCCGTAGCTCGGGGTCTTGGGGTCTTAGGGTGTCCGGGGGGGGTCTTAGGGTGTCCGTTTCTTAGGTGTCCGTTATTCGGGGGGTCTTAGGGTGTCCGTAGCTGGGGTCTTAGGGTCCGTAGCTTAGCGTAGCGGGGTCTTAGGGTGTCCGTAGCTCGGGGTCTTAGACTGTCCGTAGCTCGGGTCGGGGGTCCGTAGCTCGGGTCTTAGGGTGTCCGTAGCTCGGGTCTTAGGTCCGTAGCTCGGGGTCTTAGGGTAGCTCGGGGTCTCCGTAGCTCGGGTCGGGTAAGGTCCGTAGCTCGGGGTCTTAGGGTATCCGTTATTCGGGGTCTTAGGGTGTCCGTAGTGAGTTCAACATTACGGATGCAATGACGAGAACTCCAAGTGCTTTATCCACCGGGAATATTCGAAAAGCAAAAGGGGGTTATCTGCTTAGGAATCGAAAAAAGGGGAATTTTCGACTTTTCTCTCCTATATGTTTTCATCTGGCGAAGGCTACATCGTATTCCTACTTTATACGTTATTATAAAAAAAGGATCTTTGTTAGCTGCAGAGTAAGGACCATATTTCCACCTCACAGCTCCTTGTAACTGCCCTCAAGACAGAATAATAGACAATTACACCTCGTGCGCTCCAGCCATACAGCTTAATACATCGCGCTACAAGTCCTACATGTATGAATATATATCTTATTCATACTGGAGTCTGTCGACAAGAAACGTTTCATTTTCCTACGTACTTGCCACTCACCCGATTACTGGCAAATAAAAACGCATACATACATGCGCATGTGTGCGTGCGCAAGTGCATGAGTGTGTACGCGCACGTGCGTGTATATGTGTGCGTGAGTACTTATGTGCGTGTGCGAGTGTGTATGTGTGTGTGTGTGTGTGTGTGTGTGTGTGTGTGTGGTGTGTGTGTGTGTGTGTGTGTGTGTGTGTGTGTGTGTGTGTGTGTGTGTGTGTGTGTGTGTGTGTGTGTGTGTGTGTGTGTGTGTGTGTGTGTGTGTGTGTGTGTGTGTGTGTGTGTGAGTGAGTGAGTGAGTGAGTGAGTGAGTGAGTGAGTGAGTGAGTGAGTGTGCGTGTGCGTGTGCGTGTGCGTGTGCGTGTGTGTGTGCGTGTGCGTGCGTGAGTATGTGTGTAAAAGAGATGGAGATGCAGCCGGAAGCCGCCCCCACCTTGTCGAGCGCCTGCTGCACGATGGCCTCGCTCTGCGTGTCCAGCGCCGACGTGGCCTCGTCCAGGAGCAGGATCCTGGGCTGCCTGACGAGCGCGCGCGCGATGGCGATGCGCTGCTTCTGTCCGCCCGACATCTGGCTCCCTCGCTCGCCGACGTTCGTTTCGTATTTCTGCGGAAAAAGCGGACAGACTGTCAATTCCCCGCCTCTCTTGATTTTTAACTGTATTTTAAACTTTCCAGATATCATGAACTTCCTTTGAATCAAACTCTTACATGGCTTCAACAAGAGTAAATTCAGATTTAAACAAATGAGGGTCTTTTCAGATTTCCTCAGCCAGACGATTAGAATCAAAATTTACGAAAAGGAACATTAGTCCCAGAAACGCAAGTGATATTCCCTCACCTTCGGCAGCTTCATGATAAAGTCATGGGCGTTGGCTTCTTTGGCCGCCGCCTGAATGTCCTCCATGGAGACGCCTTCGCGGCCGTACCTGATGTTCTCGGCAACGGTGGTCGCGAACAGGACCGGCTCTTGGCCCACGACCCCGATCTGGTCTCGCAGCCAACCGATGTTCAGACTCTTTATTTCACGGCCGTCTAGGAACACCTGAGTGGATGAAGTTGTATTTAAGTCGGATCTTGTATTTATTGGGAGAGAGCACGTACATGCATGCAGTAATTTCATTGCTTCACACACACACACACACGCACACAGAAACTATATAAAATTCGTTCACTTCTGCAACACTCTTCTCTTCTCTGTGACTTACATGGCCATCCAGTGGGTCATAGAACCGCTGTATGAGCTGGACGCAGGTCGACTTGCCGCAGCCGGAGGAACCCACCAGGGCCACGGTCTGCCCCGGTTCTATGCTCAGCGACACGCCCTGCAGCACCTTCACGTCCGGTCTTGATGGGTAGCTGAAGCGGACATCTTTGAACTCTGAAAAAATGAAGATGAAAAGTACAGAAACATGAAGAGGTGAAGAGAAAGCACACACACAAGGGGTGGGGGGATACAGAGGCGGAGAGAATCAAGAGAGAGAGAGAGAGAGAGAGTTGGGGGAAGAAGGGGATAGGAAGGAAAGAGAGAAAGAAAGAAAGAATATCAAATACACATACACATCAATATGTGATACAGGGGGTGAAATTGTCTGCCTCTAACATGTTAATTGCAAACTAGTCAAGCGATTAGTTACCAATCATTCCCTTCACTGAAGGAGGCTTTTCTCCTTCAGAACCAGTAGGGTCAATGGCTGATTTTCTTTCGATAATATCAAAGATGTTCGCAGCTGCTCCCCTGGCCACGCTGAAAGCCTCGATGTATGGAGCTGCCTGGCCGACATTCATGGCACCCATCAGCACGCTGAAGAACACCTAGAAAATGGACAGGTTTATTTGCGTGAACGAAACATCAGAATTGTTCAGTTGTATTATAACAAGATGCAATGTTAACAAGTGCAAGTAAATAGTATAACGAAGAAGAGGGAGAAGATGAGGACGAAGATTATAAAAAAGCAGAAGTAGAAAAGCAGGAAGTAAAATGAGATCGTAGAGAGAGAGAGACAGAAAGAGATTTCTTAACTAACTCGAAAATTGAAATATTCGTGAAGGCATTTATACTCGGAAGTCCTCTGTAAAGTGAAACTAAAGCTCTTATAGCTCTTATAAAACCTCAAAACAGTAATAGCTTTTGATGAATAGCATAAATAAACGAATAAGTTATAATGCTATGCACAATCAATTCTAAATACCTACGAAAATGTGGCCACTCCTCATATTGAGATAACCAATATTATTTATTTAGCTTAAAAATGAATCTGATCGTTCCTAAGGAAAACCATATTTTTATTAGACATCTTCGCCATACTACATGCATTAAAGAGGCCTAAAGGTTATAGAATAAGAATATTACTATATTATTGAAAATTACAACATTAAATTCTACTATTTTGCCATTTGATATTGTATAAAAGAAATGTTTTTGCTGTATATTTGAGAAATATAACAGGAGTCTGATATATTGACCCTTCCCCTACATATGCAATTACAGCACGGTTGGACCTTCCATTTCCTAACCACCTTTGTAATATCAGAAAGAGAAGGTATTTTTCATCTTTTGTGACGGCTTCTTTTAGGTAATTATCATTTGCATATATTTAAATACACATTACAGTAAGTTTAGACGACTGGATTTGCGAATGTTAGTTAGTTCCCCCCCCCCCCTTGCTTAATCGCGCAGAGTCGTGGGCTGTTCTTGGTGAACATGTGAACAGGAGAAGAGGGAGAAGAAGAACATAAAGCATCTAACGCCAGACCAAAGACCCTCTTAGCTTACAATGATGAGATTGGAGGGGTTGAAATTGCTATCGGGGTCCGCCCTCGACTCAAGAATGAGGCCGGTGCCGTAGTAGAAGGCCAGGTACGCGGTAGATCAGGAACCACATCAAGCCCATGCCCACGCCCGTCACGAGGCCTCGCTTCACGCCCGCTCGCCTGGCGTGCACGAGGTTGGCGTCGTACCTGTGGTGCACGAAACCAATGGAGAACGGGATTTTTATGCGGTGGAAGAAATACGTACCACGAAAACATATATTCTAAAATACATATGAGATTCATGCGGGTATAGAGTGAAAGTTTATGTGGTGGAAGAAATACACACCACGAAAACATATATTCTCAAATGCATATAAGATCCATGTGGATATAGAGTGAACGTTTTTAAAATACAGCCACACACAGCACCATCTTCTACCACTTCGTTAAATTAGTGCATAGAAAATATCGGATATACACTAATACATTGTGGAAATACATTGAGAAAGAATCTTGCTGAAAAAACGTTTACCTTTCGACTTCTTTCGCTTCTCCTCCGAAGGCAACCACTGTCCTGATGGCTGATATCACTTCCTCTGCGATACTGCCTGCTTTTGCATACTCTTTCATCTCTACTGATGTTAAGCTAGACTGGACCTAAAGGGAAAAAATGTAAATTAAGCAACATTAAAAATTAAATCTCTTGAATTAGAAAAAATGGAGATTATTGAATGTTGAAAGTGCAAACCGTATTCACTGCGACAACTGAAGGAGAGGTCTGTATGAGAATATCTTCATAAAACGAGATATATTTAACCGAATATATGTTCCTCAGAAATATGTCTTAGTTGAAAGTCTTTCGTTGCAAAAGTTATGGCAGGAATAAATAACAAAATAAGGTAGCTATGTGAATGATATAAATGGGTCAATGTCACCACCAAATTGTAAAAGCAAACCCAAAGTTAATCAATCCATATCATAACAAAAAGTTAAAGGTTTGTCCATAGATGATTAATACATATGCTGTTTATTTACACTCATATCTTTATAAACATGCATGCGCATGTTATATGTATATGCGTTTATAAAGAGATGTGTTTAAATAAACAACATATATATTTGTTCCTCTCTCTCTCTCTTCTCTCTCTCTCTCTCTCTTTTCTCTCTTCTCTCTCTCTCTCTTCTCTCTCATATGCTGCTTATTTACACACATCTCTTTATAAACGTGCATACACACGTTATATGCACACATACTGGATAAACACCAGACTAACCTTTGCAATTATTCCAGTAGAGATTCCTAAGAGTGGGAACACAGACAGAATGACCAGCGTGAGTTCCCATCCGTGGACAAAGGCATTGATGAGAGAGGCTATGAAGATGGTCATGAAGAAGATGAACATGCCCACTTTCTCGCCAATTCCTTCTTGTAATTTATTCAAATCCCTGAAAAGCAGACAGACATTTTGATAGGCAAGTCATGTACCCTTCAGTAAAATTATTAACAGTATATATAATTCGATTACTTATTATTTTCGTCATCTCATTACTATTTTTTTTTTTTTCAATATAGTTAC